ATTAGAACAGGCATTTCTCATTTTGCATTGTTCTGAGAAGCTCGAATCACTAAATGGGACTTTTTAGGCACCAATAATAATCCAATTAACACATATTGTTACTGTAAAATTTAAATCCACACTTTTTAATACAAAATAAAAAATAACTTTTTAAAATCACAATTTTAAATAAACAACAGTAGTGGTCAGTTTTTATATACACACTCAATATACTATTTGGTATGTCCTAGTCTCAGCAAAAGATGTAGAGATTCTGCACCCCAAAAGTTTTTCTGAGATCTAGTAATCCTCCTCTGTTACTAAGATCCAGCAAAGGACTAGTACCAGCAGCTGAGAAGCCCATTCAAGGTAACAAAATTCAGCTCATTGAACTTGTCACCACTGCTTGAAACACTTTGCATCTCGAGATTTGAGTCAAGGAGCTGCTTCCAACATAGATCCAGGCCTCGTCAATTTAGCTGAAACTCTCCAATCACTTCAGTCACCCGATAAAGCAGGGCAAATAAGGTTGCAGCAGCGCCCTTGTTACAGAGAATGGCTAGGCTGGGTCATTCTTTTTTACCCCCTGAATAAATAAACAGAGCTTGTTTGGGCAGAAAACTGCTGTAATGAGAATATCTGTCATAGACGTCCTATGCAGGGAAGTTGCTGAAGGCTGTTGAAGAACATAGTGACAGTTATTTTATCGCACCCCATCCCCATGACCTAAGCCAACTTCTTCTTCTACCCTAGATGTTTATTTAAATGATTAAGTCAACTGCAATCTGTAGGAATATTCCAGCCTCAAGCAGCTCCTGTACTCCTAATTCCTAGAGCTAAAATTCAGGTAAATATCAATCTGGGTGGGAAAATAGTTTAGGTCAGGTGGGAGGCATAAAAGGATAACCATATTTTCTAGCAAAAAACACTTTATATACTGTATGTTGTAAAATTATTACAGTCAGCTGCCCAGGTTTTCAGGCTCAGGAGTTACAGTTAAAAAGTTACAGTAAAAACTGATTTACCGGTACATTAGATAAGGGCTTGATTCTGTTGACAACTTGCTTGATAAATACCTCTCAATGGGTTATAGTTAATACAAGCCAAATAACATTAGATTCATTGAATCACATTTTAAATTAAATTTAAAGATAATTGCGTTTTGAAGAAAATCATCACTTATCAGGATTAGTCAGAAATAAATAATTCCATTTTAATTTGGTTATATATCTTTTAATAAATGTCATAAAATAAAACCCTCAGTTTCTTGGATTTCAATTGATTTTTTAAATTCAAATACCTTACTGTTTTTTTTAAGTTTATAAAATGCTAAAATAGTATCCTATTTACAATTGTTAGTTATTACTTGCAAGTTGTAAGTACTATCAAGTGCTACTTGCTCTCAGTGCTTCCAAGCGTATGATATACATGCGAAGTGACATCATCCTTCAACAGGAAAAAAGTGAATGTAGAGGAGTTCAGGTATATATACACACCATGGTAATTGATTAATGTGTTAAGGTTCATGCTACCACCCTGGAAGAATTCTTTAACCACTTGACCTCAGGAAAGTTTTACTCCCTCACGACCAGGGCATTTTTTGCTATTTAGCACTGCTCTCCTTTAACTGGCAATTGCTTAGTCATGTAACACTCTATCCAAATTACATTTTCAGAATTTTTATCACACAAATAGAGCTTTATTTTGGTGGTATTAATCACCACTGGGTTTTTAATTTTTATTATATAAAAGAGAAAAGACCAAAAATTTGGGGAAAAAAAGATATTTTCTGCTTTCTCTTATAAAATCTATCCAATAAAAAACAGCTATAAAAAATCTTCATAAATTTAAGACAAAATGTATTCTGCTGCATGTCTTTGGTAAAAAAAAATTGCACTAAGTGTAAATTATTGGTTTGTGTGAAAGTTATAGCATCTACAAACTAGGGTATATACTGGAATTTATGAAGCTATGACTTTATTCTGGTAATGGCGGGGATCAGTGACTTATAGAGGGACTGTGATAACAATCTGACACTAGCTGGTGCTAGCTGGGAGGTACACTAACTGACACTGTCATCAATTGTGACATTAATACAGTGATCAGTGCTAATACTGTACACTATCACTCTACTCTACTGGGAAGGGGTTAACATAAAGGGGCAATCAAAGGGTTCTCTGTGATCCTAACATTGTAATGTGTGTGATATGTACTGCTTTTTCTAAGAGATTTGGCTGTTTTTTCTACCTTCTTTGCAGGGAGAAGAAACAGCCAAATTGCTGCTCTGTGTACAGAGCCCTGTGTTGTTTGTAAACACAGGACTCTGTGCTGTGATTGGACACAGCTGATCAGCAGGTCTCAGCCATAAATCGTTGGCCTGGATCTGCTGACAAAATCCCGCAGTGCTGGTCAGCAGTGAGCACAAGCACGTGCGCCCCAGACCCGGAAGCGTGCTTGCAAAGTTTGTTTATATTGCTGAGCCTACAGCTGGCACTCTGAAACAGTAAATCTACTGTGCCGGAACAGCAAGCAGTTAAGTTATATATTTTCACTCTTTCCTAAAGTACCAGTCTTTAAAAACACAAGTCAAATTTATTTAAAACTCCAGGAGCAGAGAATGTTTCATTCTTTAATATAATGGTGTCAGGGAGAAGCAGATAGTTCTGCTTGAAACTCAGCTCAAAATGAAGTTTGCTTGTTTGGCTGTTTGTCTGAATGCTGAACTTTTAGCCTGTTTAGCAGGAGCTGGATGTCATATATATTAGTGGTTTTTCTACTGCTACTACAGTATATCTTCCCCTGTCAAATGTTAATAAGAAAACATCAGATGTTACCAGGCCCCATTTATCTGCTGCCCAGTATTTTCCGAGTTACGTAAACAAAGGTGAAAGGATAATAGCTGGTATTATTGCTTAAATATGGCCACAAAGCATCCACTCACAGTATCCCAAAATCACTAGGCCAGGGTTGTAGGAAAGATACCCTTGTACTTATCAACATGGGGACAAGATGCTTTGCAAAATGAGGGTCCCATCAGGCAACACACCCTCTGTATGTTGAGGCCATGTGGTCTGGTATGGTTCAGTGTGTGGGGGGTGCTTTTTTGATTTTTTCTTTTTTGTTTTTGTGAGTCTCACTTGACACCCATACCAGACTCAGATGTGGAATTTACCAGCAATTTAAACAGCATTTGTTTTCTTTGTAAATGTTAATTTTGCTGTAATAGGTTGTATACATTGTATAGATATAGGTCACTTAACAGGCAGGTTTACTGCATCCCACAGGCATGGTATTTAAAGGAATTTAGCATTTTTAATGTTAAAATTTTTGCTTGTTCCCCAGGGAATTGCCAAGTCCAGCATGCCATTTGTTTGACAATCGCTTGCCTATTAGCCTAGAAAATGGCCATTAATGTGTTTTAACATTCAGCTTCTACTGATTTCATTGAATTTCAGATTTGGCACCTGGACTTCCCTTAAGTGTTTATTTGTATTTATTCAAGAAATTGTATTAAGAGTTTAGCGGAGCTGAGAGTAAAAAAACCCCTGAAAATAGAGAGAAGAGAAGATAGGAAAATGCCTGATGTTCTCTGTAGCCTGTTAGGATCTGCAATTCTACCAACCAATCCTGGGGCATAAAAAGATACCCGCAGTAATTGCTCAGTGTAGTCAAGGAGAATATTCCAAGATATGCCACAACTCCCAAAACATTTTATGTTTGTCAAAAGAGTCATTTAAGACAACTGTTAAATATTCCATCCTTTGGATACCTCGGATCCTTGTATGAAGCTTTTAGAGAGGGAAGTTTGTACTGTTTCCACTTAAGCAGCACTAGACACCACGCCATCATGAGGATGTGTGACAACAGTAGTTTAGATGTTTTAGAGAATGTAAGAGGGGGTAAACCCAGGAGATATGTTTTAGGTGTATATGGGATCCAAGAGTCAAAGACTTGATGGATAAGAGTATAGATAGCTTTCCAGTAAGGTTGCATGAGGGGACAATACCAGTAGATATGTTGCAGTGTCCCAATATAATTCTCACATTGCCTGCATCTGTTATCTTTTGAAGGATAAATGAAGCGTACTTTACCAAGGGTGTACTACCAATGAAAAAGTATCTTGCAGTTTTTTTTTTATATAAGGTGCAGACTGAGGTCTTAGCTGCATGAAACCAGATTGTTTGCCAAGTTGTAAAAGACAGCTCCTCTCCAAGAATTTGTTCCCATTTCTATATATAGTGGTGTTTTGGAGAAGGATGGGAAGAAGTAAGCACCTTATATATTTGACAGATTAGCCCTTTGCTCAGTCAATTTTTTTAAATGGGGTCAGTTTGGAGAATAGTAGGGAGTTGGACAGAGACTGGTCGTAAAAATGGATTTGTAAGTATCCATGAAAAGCTTGTTTAGGGAGATCATAAGTACTCTGGAGATCCTGGGAGGATCACAAAATCCTAGTTCTGGGTTCCACCCGGAGGCCATAGTGAAATAGACCTCTATCTCTCCAACAAAGAGACATCTGTGAAGTCCCCCAGAAGTCACAGACAGACGTGCCCTAGATCTCACATTGCAGATTTAAAGCTAAAAAGCTGTAGGCACAAAAGTGTCTAAGCACGCTCACATACAAGAAGTGCATTTTGGACAGGTTTTGAGTAAGCACTGAAGAGGGCATGAAACACATTAACTTTTCCTTTCCTATCCCCACTGTGTTTTTACTGTGTTTTTTATATGGATCAATAAATGAAGTAGGAGTGCAGCCATGCAAATATTTCTTTATAAACAGTGGACTGTTATTTTTCAAGAAGAATTCAGAACAAAAGGTACATTTTTCAGGGTGCTACTTAAGTACAAACAATATTTCTAAATGTTCCCTACAATGTAGCAAATCTTCACTTAGTTCACCTTTAAGAAAATAAGTCTACCAAGATTAATATTTTTTGCAGACACCAGTGTAGTGTCTATTCTTATATTTCCATATGCCTCTATTAGTTACTAAAATGTTATATTTTGCTTTGTCTGCTCAGATATTGAGGTCTCCACCGAAATCAGCTGGACGAGAGACAAAATATGTAAGTTTTTTTTGACTGTTTTAAAAAAGAATGTTTGTGTAAAACCATTATTTTTTTAGATTTATGCATGAATTCTCCTAAAATGTGAACCTCTTTTAAATGACAATTAGCAACTTCTACATTGATCTCCAAGAAGATATGGCAGCATAAAAATGGGTTTGTGTAAATCCAACTGGCAGTTAGAATACTTAAGAATATCACATTTGTAAAAAAATATTGTAGTGCTTAAAGAATATGTAAAACCAACACTTCATATTCCTGTATCTGCTGTACCATGTATATGGCAGCTCCTGGCTTTTGTTCCTCCTGGCTCCAGGTGCCTGACTAATATGCAAGTTTGACCTTTGTAGCGGGGGTCAATTAGGGAGGTGAGCATTTGCCCTTTGAGGGTCGATGGAGGCTTTCTTCTGATGGAGCACCTCTGATCACAATTAAAAAGTCGAGTTATTGACCCTGAAGATATTAATACTCTTAAGTTAGGGTGCCTTTGAGAGAATGAGAGGTAGAGGCATTGCTCAGCTTAATGGGCTATTAGTGTGAGGTTGAGGAAATATTGCTTAAAGTTAGGAGGTATTGGTGGATCTTTGTTATTTTATGTATGCGTAAAACATTTTTTTTTTAAGTCTAAAAAAGTGTTTTTATTATGTAAAATTATGTACATTGTAGAATACTGCACAAGTTGTTTTGCAGAATAAATTATAATATTTCAGAAATTAAATTAATTTTGGGTCTCAACTTAATGACCAAGGACAAATGTGGGTCCTGAGTTCCACTGGTTGAAAACCACTACTTTATGCTGTACTATATAATCCCTATTCCAAACCTCTTTATTCTGTTTTCTTCTCCATATTCCGTGTTCCACACCTTCTCATTCTGTATGCTTCACTTTCTATTTCATTTTCTATTTTACACCTGATTCTGTACACTGTGCTGTACATTCCCCTTCCTACTCCTTATTATGTATGTTGTGCTGTAAATTCCCTATTCCACACTGCCTCATCCTGTATCTTTTTTTGTACATTCAACATTAAATACTTGCTTATTCTACACACTGCACTGTACATTCCTAATTCCATATTGCCTCATTCGTATGCTGTAGTGTACATTCCTTTTTCCAAAATGCCTTATTCTGTACACTGTGCTGTATACTCTTCCTTATTCTGTATGCTGCATGATGGGGCTTATTTTACTCACATTGATACCGATGCTGAGACTTGTTTTTTTTTTTCATTGACATCAAGAATGCCATAATAATAATACTGATACATTTTTATAACATATAGTATAAACAGGAGAAAACATGTATTTTTCCTATGGAGGACACCTATACAGAAAAGAGAAAGTACCCCTACATTTAAAATTATGAGTATTAGTACAATCAATTCATAAGGCACTGTTTTAGCAACCAGTCAGCAATTGCTGCTTTAACTAGTGATGTGTTCAATGTCCTATACGAACACAACTTTGTTACAGGTCTCCTGTTTCCAAACAAAAACCCCTTAGTAGTGACTAGGAATAGTTTTTCTTTACAGCAAAGATGTATACAAATACATCCAGGTACCCTAGGCAGGCTGCATATCAGGATTCTGGATAGCTAGTGCACAAATTAGCCCAAAACAATCCCAACCTACATATTTGGCAATAAGTAAGCAGCAAAGAAACTGTCATAATTCTGCTTTTTCCTTTTGTTAGCTCATGTGCACTAGAGCAGGGGCTGTTTGGCTCCTATTGCTACCCTACCCCTTCCAGTCTTAGTCTTGCTGTGTGGGGGACTACAGAAAACTAGTACTAAGGCACATTAAAATGCATATACTAGATATGCTGAAGAATTATTTTAGTGAATATACAACTTCTTTTAAAGACAACTTCACCTTGGGTAAAGTTGTCTTTAGTAAAACCTCCCTGAGTACAGACACCCTAGACTTATAATTACCTTCACCCCCTTTCCAGGAATCTTACTGCCAACATAGACCTGACTGGCCCCTCGTAATTCTACCTATGCATACTATGGGGAAAGCATATTCCAAAGAACCGCCGAATTATATTGTGAATAAACAACTTCTTTAAAGGGGTAAAGTTGTCTTTAGACATTCAAATTTATAGCTACACATGGAAATGAATAGGACCATGGCACACATGTGCAGAATGAAGAAAAGATGGCTTAGATCACATCAGCTGTAAGATATCTGGGTCACGGTTGAAGGTTAGTGTTAGTCTAGATGCCGTGACACCTTTGACACACACACACACACACACACACACACACACACACACACACACACAGCTGAGCTAAGATGGATATGTGTAGCATATCCACACATGCAATGTAGGGTAGTGTGATGCAGACATGACAGCTTCTGGCCTCTAGCTCTAAAATTACTAGCATGCCATTATGATACGCATCATTTGTTCTGCCATCTGGAAACTAAAGTAGTTGATCTTTTAGAATTTCATATATAATTAGAGATGAGCGAATCGAACTTGGCGAAGTGGAATTCGTTTCGAATATTAGGAAAAATTCGATTCGCATCGAATCCGAATTTTAGCAAACTTCGGATGCACGAATCGAATTTTCCCCGATCAGCCGGCAAAAGTGTCGCTGCAGAGAGCTCCGCTATTTCTGACAGTTCTCTGACAGTTCTGACAGTTCATTTACAGCGGTTGAAACATTGTATCTATTTGTTTCCATTTAGGATACAGATGTTTTTATTCGGAAATAAATAGATACAATGTTTCAACCGCTGTAAATGTGAAGGAACTGTCAGAGAACTGTCAGAAATAGCGGAGCTCTCTGCAGATACACTTTTTGCTGTACTGGAATTCTTCTTCTTTTCATTCTTCTTCTTCTTTTCATTCTTCTTCTTCTTTTCATTCTCTTCTTCTTCTTCTTCTTTTCATTTTTCTTTTCATTCTTCTTCTTCTTCTTTCCATTGTTCTTTTCATTCTTCTTCTTCTTCTTTCCATTCTTCTTTTCATTCTTCTTCTTTTCATTCTTCTTCTTCTTCTTTTCATTCTTCTTCTTCTTCTTTTCATTCTTCTTCTTCTTCTTTTCATTCTTCTTCTTTTCATTCTTCTTCTTCTTCTTTTCATTCTTCTTCTTTTCATTCTTCTTCTTTTCATTCTTCTTTTCATTCTTCTTCTTCTTCTTTTCATTCTTCTCCTTCTTCTTTTCATTCTTCTTTTCATTCTTCTCATTCTTCTTTTAATTCTTCTTTTCATTCTTCTTCTCATTCTTCTTTTCATTCTTCTTCTTTTCATTCTTCTTCTTCTTCTTTTCATTCTTCTTTTCATTCTTCTCATTCTTCTTTTCAGTCTTCTCCTTCTTCTTTTCATTCTTCTTCTTCTTCTTTTTTCATTCTTCTTCTTCTTCTTTTCATTCTTTCTTCTTCTTCTTTTCATTCTTCTTCTTCTTTTCATTCTTCTTCTTCTTCTTTTCATTCTTTTCATTCTTCTTTTCATTCTTCTTCTTTTCATTCTTCTTCTTCTTCTTTTCATTCTTCTTTTCATTCTTCTTCTTCTTCTTTTCATTCTTCTTTTCATTCTTCTTCTTCTTTTCATTCTTCTTCTTCTTTTCATTCTTCTTTTCATTCTTCTACCTCTTCTTTTCATTCTTCTTCTTCTTTTCATTCTTCTTCTTCTTCTTTTCATTCTTCATTTCATTCTTCTTCTTCTTCTTTTCATTCTTCTTCTTCTTCTTTTCATTCTTCTTTTCATTCTTCTTCTTCTTTTCATTCTTCTTCTTCTTCTTTTCATTCTTCTTTTCATTCTTCTTCTTCTTCTTTTCATTCTTCTTTTCATTCTTCTTCTTCTTCTTCTTTTCATTCTTCTTCTTCTTCTTCTTTTCATTCTTCTTTTCATTCTTCTTCTCCTTCTTCTTTTCATTCTTCTTTTCATTCTTCTCTTCTCATTCTTCTTTTCATTCTTCTTCTCATTCTTCTTTTCATTCTTCTTCTTCTTCTTTTCATTCTTCTTCTTCTTCTTTTCATTCTTCTTTTCATTCTTCTTCTTCTTTTCATTCTTCTTCTTTTCATTCTTCTTTTCATTCTTCTCATTCTTCTTTTCATTCTTCTTCTTCTTCTTTTCATTCTTCTTTTCATTTCTTCTTCTTCTTCTTTTCATTCTTCTTCTTCTTCTTTTCATTCTTCTTTTCATTCTTCTCATTCTTCTTTTCATTCTTCTCATTCTTCTTTTCATTCTTCTTTTCATTCTTCTTCTCATTCTTCTTTTCATTCTTCTTCTCATTCTTCTTTTCATTCTTCTTCTCATTCTTCTTTTCATTCTTCTTTTCATTCTTCTTTTCATTCTTCTTTTCATTCTTCTTTTCATTCTTCTTCTCATTCTTCTTTTCATTCTTCTTCTTCTTTTCATTCTTCTTCTCATTCTTCTTTTCATTCTTCTTTTCATTCTTCTTCTCATTCTTCTTTTCATTCTTCTTCTTCTTCTTTTCATTCTTCTTTTCATTCTTCTTCTTCTTCTTCTTCTTCGTCGTGCCCCGTGACTGCCCAAATGAGTGAAGTGTGCGGTGATTCTAAGATCGACGGCACTCATCTGCATGTCATACTGACTGACAGTATTATTTCTCTTCCCCAGCAGACTCCAAGGGCATTTAAATTAAAGGTACAGTGTTCTGCACTAATATAAAGGCTCTCTGAAGCCTAGAAACCCTTTTATTAAGTTAAATTCGCGGCAAATAAATTTGCATCGAATCGAATTTCTCCCGCAAATTCGGCGAATCAGCCGAATCTAATTTTTGAATAATTCGCTCATCTCTATATATATAATCATCATTAACCTTTTACTAACTAAGTTAGTAATACGTGTGAGCAGTTTATCTGTTCTTTGGATATCTTTTTAAAATTGGAAATTGTACTCTGTTAATTGTGTCCTCTAAAATGGCACTAAAATGTTTTCTCAAAAAGAGTGTTCACAATTCACTTTGCAATATTATAATACTCCTTAGCAACTAGACAAACTAGACATATGCACAGTGTGGCTAACTACTATTTATTTTGGTGCATCAAGTCACAGACAGTGCACCACAACTCAGATGTGAAGTGCAAAGTGTTGAACTGGAGAAAAAGGAGTAGTGGTAAAGCCTGTGTTGTGGTATGTTGACAGTCTATTCCAAATACATTTGACTTCTTAACACAGCACATGTTAACATGTGTAATAGCATGCACTTAGATGTGTGTGTTAACACATCACAACAGTGTAAATCTGTCCTACAAATGTACATATGTATAGTAAAAATGAAAAAAACAGCAAAACAAATTGCTAGAGGAAAATGGGGATGCAGGGACTTATAAAATTACATTAGTTTAACTAAGGCCTAATAAGAGGTTAAACTATTTTTATTCTTTTTTTACAACGACAAAACAATACAACCCTCAGCCAGAGGGTTTCTTGTAACAATTGTCAACGATTACAACTAGCCATCATAGTAGTCTTTTGACAGGTTCGCTTAGAGTCATTCAAGCTTAAGGTTCACATTTTTGCGGCGTTGTGGCCCATGTTCACACAGACATTTGAATCAGCTGCTGTGCCTGTGTTTCTTGCAACAAAAAGGTTCCTGTAGCATTTTGAAAATGCAGCGGCTGGGAAATTGCATGGTGCTTTTGATAGCTGTGTTTTTAAAGAGCAGAGTATTTTGGACGCAGGTGGTTGTGGGTGTGGGAACAGTTTTGAACCTAGGCTAAATATGATAAAAAAAGAACAAGCCTCCAAAAAATGTGTGTGTTGTGCTCACAGTGTACAAAGTCCACTCTCTTGATAAACTACTATATACTGTATGTATATACACTATCTGAGTATTCTCCAGTGATAGGCAATAAAAATTGTGCAGTGATGGAGTCCAACTGCTTCAAATCACCTCTTTTCAAGGAATGGGAGGGGCACTGCGTATTCATATCTGTTTAATTTATGTGTGCATTGAGGAACAGTAAAAGAGAATACTGCTTGCCTCACAATCCTCCTCCTATTTTATGTAGTGACAAGAAGAGAACATTAATGTCGTATGAGGTGTTTGCACACTACACATGACAGTCTGCTGTATTTCAATGTTGTGATACAGACTTTGCTTGTGCAATGATGGCGGCAAGGAGTTGAGGAGGAGGGGAATTTCATCATCAATTATGGCAAAAAAACCTTCAGTAACTGAGCAGACACCCTCTGATTTGCTTCATCTTCCCTGAGCCAAACAACAACAAGATCCAGCTGTCATGCCTCTACCACTGCACAGTCCCCCAAGGCAACTATGTGTGTTTTTGAAGACCAATACAAATGCATACTAATGGTAGCTGACAGAAAGACTGTGATGCAGTTGCAGGAGAGGTTTGTGCCCAAGTTGCCCGCCAATCATTACAGAGCCGAAGGCAAATATCTCTCATGCCTCTGTGCTGGGCTTGGTACAGACTGGAAGACATGAAGACTACCTGCACTCAGGGGGTTGGGGGACTTTTTTTTAAAGTGATGTCCTTTAACTGTTTTTATAGCCATCCAGAGTTCAGTAGTATTTCAAATAATATTATGCTCTTGCATCAAAGTGGTATTAGACAAGATTCCCTGTTTTATTTAGCAAGAGTTGGTGTTTGCTATGAAAAAAGTTTTAGCAAGAATAAATGTATTTGTAATAATATTCATTCATCTTCTAGTTTTTTGCTATGTGGTTCCTTTGTTGATTTAGTTTGTTATTTTAACTTAAGTTTTTGCATAGCAAGATTTAATTTTTATCTTATATCCACAGGCTTCGATTCAGCAACGAGCAAACACAAGAACAAATAACCTACAGGTTTGTATTTTATGTTTTATTGAGCCTTACTTTGTTATCAAAGCAACCCACACTAATAATAAGCAATTTCTAACCTGGTTAAACCATAAAATTGGAGAAAGTAATTAAGGTTGCAGTTATCAGAATAATCATGCAGTGGAAATAAGTAGCCTGCTGTGACCTTAAAACAAGTTCAAATCATCTACTGATTCTGGAAATGAAATATCACTGCAACCATTGCTCTTTTTAGTTAGCTCAGCAGAGTAATAACATTAGTAAATCCACATTTAGCATTTACATGGCCATTGGCATCCTAAAATGACTATGTATTAAGTTGCTAAGCAAAATTTTTCCTTTGTATAAATTTGTGAGGTTGAATTATTATGTGACATTTAACTCGCAAGGTCTTTGAGTGTTATGTAGCTGTAGTCACTAAAGAGATGTAGAGAATGCATAAATGACATATACTCTAAACTCTACAATTGTCTGCCTTTGGCAGATGGATTGGATGAAGTACAAATGTATGTAAAATGTTAATATGCAATTTAAAAAGTTGTGGATCGGCAATATACTTTGCCCTTGTCTTTTCCTGCTGAATACATGTTTTCAGGTGCTGGGAAGCACTGCCAGTTTAACCACTTCAGCCCCAGAAGGTTTTCCCCCCTTCCCTGACCAGGCCATATTTTGCTGCCCATGGAATGTGTTGCTCTGCCATTTTTTACTCCAAAACTAGAAAATATATATAACCGGCGTGAGAATTTTTCCCATTCAATAGCGTTCAGCAACAGCCCTGAAGAAAGGAGAAGGGGCTTGATGTACTTGTCATCACTCTCAATAAATGCCTCTTAATCTATCATCAAAAGTGCATTCTTTTGGACATCAGACACTCATTCTTTTCTATTACTCCAAGTATACATGTGGAAACTACCTCAGGGCCGCACCAGAAAGGCAGCAGCCCAAACCCTAAGAGGGTTTAGCGCCAATATCCACCATTGGGTACAACTGACTGGAGGGACATCTCCCTACCCACCCACGCAACCACCCACCTATGACCAGTGACTGATCCAGTCAGTCCAGTGCAGTCTTCAGCACAAACATATTTTGCAGTCTTCAGCACAAACATATTTTGCTATACGCCACTGTGCTATTTCCACTGGTAATTGCGTGGTCTTGCAATGCTGTACCGAAACATAGTTTATGTCCTTTTTTCACATAAATAGAGCTTTTTTTTTGGTGGTATTTGATCACCACTGGGTTTTTTATTTTGTGTGCTATAAACAAAATTAGACTTTCTGTTATAACAAATATCCAACAAACTCAAAGTTAATCATAAAATAAGGCCAAAATGTATTCTGTTACATGTCTTTGGTCAAAAAAAATCCCAACACGTGGTTTGTGTGAACGTTTTAGCATCTACAAACTATGGTATATATATTGGAATTTTTGCAGCTTTTTGCCGCTGAATCTTCTAAAAACAAAATTTTTCAACAAAAATCTATTGAAAGGAATTTATGCAGCTTTTACTTTCTGACTGCCTATCACATTTTTTGAGGTGCTAAAATGCTAGGGCAGTAACCCCCCCCCAAAATGACCCCTTTTTGGAAAGTAGACACCCCAAGGAGTTTGCAGAGAGGTACAATGAATCCATGGAAGATTTTGTTTGATTTTATTTTTTGCCACATATTTTTAGAAAATTACAGAATTTTCTTGTACACAAAGTTGTCACTTATGACGGGTATGGGGATACATGTGAGAGACTTTTTTGGCAGTCCAGCCACATACAGGCCCCCAAAATCCAATGGCCACCTTCAGGCTTTCAAAGGGCATATTTCCTCGTGTCACTCCATCACTACCTATAACAGTTTCGGAAGCCCTGAAATGCCAGGATAGTACAACCCCCCCCCCCCCCCCCACCATGATCCTTTTTTGGAAAGTAGACACCCTATGGAATTTGATAAGAGGCATGGTGAGTATTTTGAAGATATCATTTATGTCACAAAGTTTTGAAAAAGAAGAAAAGAAAAAATGCATTTTCATTTTCTTTCTTAATTTTCCAAAAACTTGTGGCAACAAATGAGATTTGCAAATTACTCACTATGCCCCTTAGCGAATGCCTTGGAGTGTCTACTTTCCAAAAAGGGGTTATTTGGAGGGTTGCTTCTACTATTCTGGCATTTCAGGGCCAACATTATAAGGCTATGCCACACGCCCCCAATCTTTTGTTTACATGAAAAAAAAGATTTTTTTTGCTAGAAAATTACTTTGAACCCCCAAACATTATATATTTTTTTACAGCAGAGGCCCTAGAGAATAAAACGGTGGGTGCTGCAATTTTTTACTGTCACACAGTATTTGCGCAGCAATTTTTCAAATACAAATTTTTTGGAAAATACACTTTTTTAAAAATTTTAATGCACAAAAACAGAATATATTGCCCAACTGCTTGATAAAATATAAAAGATGCTGTTATGCCAAGCAACTAGATACCAAACATGATATGCTTTAAAATTTCTCACTCTCGTGCAACGGCGACAAGCTATGTACATTTTTGATATCCATAGGCTAAGTTTAAAAGCCTTTACAGTTTACCACTTTATATTTACACAGGAGGTGCTAGAATTACTGCCCTCGATGTGACATTTGCAGTGATACCTCACATGCATGGAGCAATCACTGTTTCGGGCACTGGACCGAAGCTTGTGTTTGCCTTTGCGTGCAAGCATGGGGGGGGGGGGGGGGGGGTGATAAAATTTTTTTCAATTATTTATTTTGCTTTTTTGATTTTTACACTGTCCATTTTATTTTTTTCCTTTTTTGATCACTTTTATTGTTATCACGAGGAATGTAAATATCCCCTGGGATAGCAATAGACAATGACAGGTACTTTTTTCTGGGAGATGTGGGGTCTATTAGACTCTAGATCCCTCCTCTGCCCTTAAAGAATCTGCTCACATAAAGATCAGTTTGATCATATGCTTTCCCAATTGTAAAATGGCGCTGTTTATATCCAGCAAAACCAAAATGATGAAATGCTCACTGCTTCTGGTTTCTTAGATCATAGAAATGATTGGAACCATTGCAGCTGCATTCTCGGGTTCTCCAGTGGGATGGGAGAGCCTGAGATATCTGTGGAAGGCGTCGGGGGGTGGTCCCTTCTCATTGCTTGTAAATGTGATCCAGCGGTTAATTAGCCACTAGGATTGCTTTTACATTAAAGCCAACCACCAGCTGAAAAAAATGATACCAGGATAATTCCTGTAGCTGCAGCTCCAAACCCTAAATGATTGTTTCCACAAGATCTATCGCCACACTTCCACCTAACAATACAAAAATATATTTCAAGAGGGAAATTAAATCAGCCAGTGTATCCAGTTAGTAGCATCAAATAACCACCAAAAGAGGAAAGAAATTAGCCATACATGCTTACCAAGCTATTCAGTGTCACATAAAGAAACACCTCCAACCAGAGAAGCCAGAAACAGACTGCAATGATGTCCAAATATCTATCTATCTAAGTGTGATGCAATTAACTCATGAGAAGGGGATTTGATCCACCTGTGCCGCCAATGGGAGATAGTGTGGCCCATGCTGCCAAATGATGACAAAAATGGTGTCTGTATGTGGCCACCCCGAAATCCGTGAGGGAGAAAATTTCCCTTGGTGTCCGGTGCCATCCCTATCACAAATACGTGACGTCATGACGACACCCGGTGTGAGGACGTGCATCACTCTTGCACATGCGCAGTATCCCAAGACATCCGGGGACGATCCTAAGATGTCGCTGGCATGGGAGATAGCCCTGTAGAGGTGCTAAGATGGAGAACAATACTCTGTCCACACTGTTGAGGGCCTAGAGCAGCCTAAATGGGAACAATACCCATACCCCGTGCTGAATGTCTATCCCAAAGGTCAGCCATACAGCCAGAACGCAGTGCCACCCTAAAGTCTATCTGAAAAATAGATGATATTAGTATGACTGAAGCAATATACATTGCTCAAAAAAATGAAAGGAACACTTTGAAAACACATCAGATCTCAATGGGGAAAAATATGCTGGATATCTATACAGATATGGACTGGGTACTGTGTTAGGAACGCAAGGATGCCCCATCGTTTGATGGAAATGAAAATTATCAACTGTTGCAAATGTGCGCAACAGAGACCCCCATTTTGTTAATCTCCATTTTCTCCCCTCACTCTCCTTCCCCCCTCCCTCCTCACTCTGAGAGTCACAGTGACAGTGTATGTGTGTGTTAAAAAAAATGTCACAGGAAGGTCATATGAGCTATAAAGGCCCCCCAGGGAGCAGTGGCCTAGCTGTTGGAGAACCTGTGCCATTTCGCACCTCGGAAGAGATAAAGCAAGCTTTCTCAGGAGTTGAGAGAGATTCCAACCTAATAAAACCTATTCAGCATAGGTGACAGAATCAGATAACAGGTCTCAAAATCCATGTTTCCCCTATTTCTCATATCTTGGAATATGAGAGACTTACATAAAAACCGGACATATCGTCAGATGGACGATGAACAGGCAAACAGTTTGATGGGGAATTCGCCTTGTCTCGGACACACAGGAAAGCAGAAAAAATAGATCTCGCGAACTGTTCAGTGTACACTTTCATAATTCATATCTAATCAATCCTCAGACTTGTCTGCATAATAATATACCTGCGGGTGGGATGTCACTGGTGCAGATGGAAAGTTATAGGCCAAAATATGAGTTATGGGAGATTTTTGCTCTAGTTGAGGCATCCACCCATATTTCCACGCCCTAAGCGGAGATTGGTCCTTGACTTCAGAGCCACCCCCTGCTGGGGACTACAAAACAGGCTGTCAGGCCTAAGAGTGGGAAGTTGAAGAATTCTCCCATTAACCATCATAACATAAGGAGATCAAAGCACCCTTCTGCTCTGAAACTTGGATCTGCTAACCCAGGACTTTGGCAAGTACTTTAACCCTTTCACCTCTCTCTGATATCTCTTTGCTGTGCTATGGTTCTTTGTATATGTATATATATATCTTAGGTACATCTTTTTCTGTAAATATTTTTATTGCACCCATTTGAAATTTTAGTAATAAAACTGTTTCTATAGCGCTTTATTGCAATTTACGAATTCCTGCCTCTAAAGAGAACGCTACTGTGTTTGTTTAGACCTCTGTATAACCGGCCTGCGGACTGTTTTATACAGACGATTATCTCAATCATTATAGTGTTATAGCTGATAACGCAGAGTTTCCTCTTTCTCTGTACAAAAAGGAGGTGGTGGCAGTGTGAAGGGTTAATTGCGTAATTAACCTGACCCGGTAACAATCGCCCAGGCTGCCGGTACATTAATTGTGGTCCATTAGCTGGAAAATCTTTGTGCAGGGGGCAGCTGGGTGTGGCATTGTTATGCATGTCACATCGTGGTTCTAGATCGGCTAGTCCTTCGGTCATGAGTTTGGTGAGAAGGTCTGGGGTCTGATGCCACGATCGTGACATCAACCTACAGAGGACTGAATTCAAAGACACCTTTAAAATCAAAGTGAAAAAATTATGCAGCAGGCTAATCCATTTTGCTGAAATTTCATTGCAGCAACTCAAAATGGTACTCAGTAGTTTGTATGGCCCCCACATGCTTGTACGCATATAAGGCTCCTAATGAGATGAAGGATAGTGTCCTGGGGTATTTCCTCCTAGATCTGGACAAGGGCATCACTGAGCCATTTAAATGGTATCAATTCCTTCATCTTCCAGGAACTGTCTGCATACTCTCGCCACATGAGGCCAGGCATTGTCATGCACCAGGAGGAACCCAGAACCCACTGCACCAGCGTAGGGTCTGACAATGGCTCCAAGGCATTCATCTTGATACCTAATGGCAGTCAGGGTGCCATTGTTCAGCCTGTAGAGGTCTGTGTGTCGCTCTATGGATATATCTCCCCAGACCATCACTGACCCACTACCAAAACGGTCATGCTGAACGATGTTACAGGAAGCATAACATTCTCCACAGCTTCTCCAGACCCTTTCACATCTGTCACATGTGCTCAGGGTGAACCTGCTCTCATCTGTGAAAACAACAGGGTGCCAGGGGTGGACCTGCCAATTCTGGTGTTCAATGGCAAATGCCAATCGAGCTCTATGGTGCCAAGCAGTGAGCACAGGGCCCACTAGAGGACGTCGGGCCCTCAGGCCACTCTAATGAAGTCTGATTCTGATTGTTTGGTCAGAGACATTCACACCAGTGGCCTGTCGGGGGTCATTTTGTAGGGCTCTGTTCCTCCTTGTACAAAGGAGATATCGGTCCTGCTGATAGCTTAAGGACCTTCTATGGCCCTGTCCAGCTCTCCTAGAGTACCTGCCTGTCTTCTGGAATCTCCTCCATGCTCTTGAGACTGTGCCAGGAGACACAGCAAACCTTCTGGCAATGGCACGTGCCATTCTGGAGGAGTTGGACTGCCAGTGCAACCTCTGCAGGGTCCAGGTATTGCCTCATGCTACCAGTAGTGACACTGACCCTAACCAAATGCAAAACTAGTGAAAACAGTTAGAAAAGATGAGTAGGGAAAAAAAATGTCAGTGACCTCATCCTGTAAAACCATTCCTGTTTTCGGGGTCATCTCATTGTTGCCCATCTAGTGCACCTGTTAATTTCATTAACATCAAAGCAGCTGAAACTGATTAACATCCCCCTCTGTTACTTAAATGAAACAGATCAATATCCCAGGAGTTTAATTGACTTGATGCTATACTCTGAATAAAAAGTGTTCCTTTTTTGAGCAGTGTATTTACATTCCATGATCTAAATAATATATACAACAAAATGTATATAAAATACATATATAATAACAAGCTCTATTTGTTTGAAAAAAGATAACAAAATTTTTTACGGGTACAGTGGTGCATGACCATGCAATTGTCATTCAAAATGTGACAACACTGATAGCTGAAAATTGGCCTCAGCAGGAAGGGTGTAAACATGCCCAGTATTGAAGTGGTTAAACATAAAAGAAAGTATTTGCAGTTGATGTTTAAAAAAACTGTTAATATGATCCACCTCTACTTGCATCTTGGTTCACTGTTATAATCAAAGATTTGGGGGAAATGATATAGCAACGTGCTTGGATTTCAAAGTTCACCATTAATTTAATCAATATGGTGTATTGCAAGCTCGTAATTTTCATTAGTAAAAGATAAAAGACTTTTGTAAAAAGATATCTGAAAAAGGTGGAAAGGCACATAAACCAGTTAGATTTCTTGTTTCATTTTCTCAGTAAATGAATAGTGAAACTTTGTTAGTAGCAGCATGCATATGGTCCACAGTTCTTCAAATTATCTGGCTCCAGAGTTAAACATCTGCACAATTATATATCATGATATGTGGCTGCATACAATATTAATAATCCAATCACATAAATGTTATTTTGTGAATATATGAAAGTACCACAACACAAGCATAGATGTATATTTGGGAGCAAAGAAGCAGCACACAAGCAGAACATTTTTATTATGTGTTGTGTTATATTGATTTCCTTTGAGATACTGTGATGTCATACATACAGCAAACATATTGGGGGAGATTTACTAAAATTCAAGAGTGCAAATTCTGGTGCAGCTTTGCACAGAAACCAATAAGCTTCCAGGTTTTATTGTCAAAGATTAATTGAACAAGATTAGGTTAGAAGGTGATTGGCTACCATGCACAGCTGCACCAGATTATGAGTGTTCCAGTTTTAGTAAATTTCCCCCTTTGTGGTATGATGTTTGGAGTTCATAAGTTTGGATTACATTTTAAGTGATGATGTGAATCACACAGGGACATACTGTAGGTTTATTTCTGTGACTGTTGCAACACCTATTCCTAAATGAGTTGTAGGTATGAGTGAATGATAAGAATAAAAGATTCATGCAGTATGTGTCTCATTTTTTTTCAAGAAGACAAGACCTGGGGTGATTCGTCCTATTTCATTAAAAATAAGTGCAAAGGAAAATGAGGATGGACCTGTTTCTCCCTTTGACTTTCAGCAAATCTCCATGCCTCAATACAGAAAAGAGACATATTTTGTAAGTGACCTCAATGTTTTTTCAGTTTATTCAGTGGAAGATTAGTTATCACACTTCATATATTAAATCATAATTTCCAAATTTACATGTGAATAGTTTCATATCCTTCAATATCTGTACTGTGTTCATCCCTTTAGGCAAGAATGAGTCATTAAAAGTATTGTTTAAAAAATATCTTTCTGGCACGGGCAGCAGATTTTCTTCAAGAATTTGATGTTATTTTGACCCAACCATTTTTCCTTCTATCCTGACAAGTCCCTGCTGCAGAGAAACACCCCCATAACAGGATATTACCAGCTCCATGCTTTACTGTAAGAAAGGTATTATTTGGATGGTGAGCTGTATTGGATTTCGACCAGACATATTGTTTAGTGTTGAGACCAAATAATTCAATTTTAGTCTCATCTGACCAGAACACTTTTTCCATGTGGCCTCAGAATCTTCAAAGGGAATTTTGGCAAAGCCCTGTGGTGACTGCATGTGTCCTTTCTTAGGGAGTGGCTTTTTTTCCCTCCCATACAAGCCACATTGTAAAGAATTTGTGCTATTGTCACATGCACACAATGACCACTCTTTGTCAGAAATTCCTGCAACTGCTTCAGAGTTGCTGTAGGCGTTTTGGTAGCCTCTCTGACCAGTTTCTTCCTGGCTCTTTCATCCAGTTTGGAGTAACATCCTGATCCAGGGTCTGTGTTGTACCAAATACCTTCCACTTCTTAATAATTGACTTCACTGTGCTTCTATGCATTGATAATGCCTTTGAATTTTTTTTGTATCCATCTCCTGACTTGTGACTGTCCATGAAGTTATCCCAAAGATCTTTTGACGGTGCCTTGCCACCCATAGCTGATTGTTTATTTCAGTGGCACTACCAGGGACTGAAATGCTCCAGGAAAGTTCTTTTCATGCTGAACTAATAAAAATGACCACAGCTGATCACAGTTGAAAGTCAAATGGCTTTGTGTGCCACTAAGAAGGTGATTAGCTACACCTGAGTTGACAAGTCATTATTAAGGGGGTGATCCTTTTTCCAACTCAGTGAATCTGTTTTTGAATGTTTTTTAATAATTTTTCTGACATGATGGTGTTATATCTTTCACTTGGATGTTATAAGTTGCACTTATACAGCTGGATAAAACAAAAAACAGTGGCTGTCTTCATTTCAAGATGCAAAGCAACAAAATGTGATGAGATGAGTAGAAAATCGTTTACAAATATGATTGCATTTGATAAAGATCTGCCGAAGAAGTGTGTGATAATGCCATCATTGATGCAAAACTTTTCCCCCCACTTGTCATTCGTGGACAACACAAAAGGTGCATTTTTTGTCAATCAATTACAGGATAAATGCTTGTGCTCATATGCACTACGATTTATTGTGTTATTCTCAATCAATTCTGCTATTCATGCTTTGGAAATCGTTCACTCATACTAAAAAATTCCAATATCACTGTTATTGTTTTTTTGTCATAAACCTTTGCATTTCAAGAATCAATATGAGCCCACTAACATTAAAAAAAGTTGAACGATCAGGAGTTTCAAACAGAATTTTAAACTATTTTCTACTTATCTGTGGCCAGCTTTTATGTCACTTTATACAAATATTAGAAACATTGTTTCTGCCCTGTTTAGACCCGCTTCTTAGTTTGAACAGTGTTTTTGGAGAATTTGATTCTTCTAAAGTAGGAACACTCAGAAATTGCCAGGCGAAGCGAAAGCTTGCTTTGAAAAACACGTTAGCAATCAGTTTTCTAGGGAAATCTTTCTGTAACTGAACAAGTGTAAAGTAAAGCAGCATGTCATCTGTATTTAGAGACCCCCCTTTACCCTTTGCTGCCAGCCTAAGGTTAATGTAATAGGGTGATCTCCAAAATACGGTAGCTTTGACTAAGGTTAAATACATATCTGGTATTCCAATTTCAGATAAAAAGCAATAATAACAGTAGGTATCTAAGCAGCAGTACTGTTGAGTAATCTCTTTTATTTTTGATATGTAAATTGGTGGTAATCCCAAATGTCCTTAGGATCACACATGCATATTGTCTTGCATATTTGATAAATAATATTTGTGACTTTACCAAACCCAATGTCTATTTGACCAGAGCAGATCAGTAGTAAAGCAATAATATTTATTTAACTGTTTTAACTTTTTATTAGCTTAGGGTCACAGATAATCAGAAGTGACTTCAAGGGTCAAATAGTTTTAATTTACTACTTTTGGCAAAAAAAAAAAGTTGTATTTTATATGAAATTGATATTCCAGGTGTGTTGCAATTGGAAAAAAAGTATCTTGCAGTCGTTTAGTCTTTTGATCACAATTGCATACTATTAGTAAAAAACCAAAATATTTTCTGGACAAGAAACAACACTGTGATTTTCTACAGTACTATTTTTCCTACACAGATTAAGATTGAATTTAGATTAATCAGGTTTGACTTTATACTGTTGATGTGTTGCACATACAGTTAATTCTTCCACTGTGTGCAGGATGGGTCGGGTGAAACCAGTGTTTTATTAGGAATGGCTGTAATAAACACAGAAAACCCTTAAGAGACCGGACCGGATGTTCATTGTAATCAAGGTTCTCTACACATTACTAAACATTTCCATATGCATTAATAAACATCTTTAATTGCAATACTGAATATCTAGACCTCTGCAGATATGCTATTAACCTATTCTGCATAACAATAGCGTATTACAATAGAGAAATCACATTCCCTGTATGTTAGCGCCAAATCGCATACCTACGATATATATACACATTCATGCTGCGAGTAGTCTGATTGCATAATAGTAGCAGCAGCGACATTTACCGACCACCAGGGCACATGTTAAGTCATTTTATCCTATTTATCATGTTAAACAGGCTCCTGCTTACCTGTAATAAACACAGAAAACTCTTAATGGCATGAGACTGGATGTTCACTGTAATCATAGTCCTGCAGGAAACAAAGTGTTAGACTTTCAGTTCCCCCCTTCTGTTTCCTTCTATTATAAACAGGATGTAGTTCTGCCATCTTGAGGTGATACAATAAAAATGCAATCACAAGTATTTTCAATTGACAAACATAGATTACTGTTATATTAGGTATTAGGCTTTGGATTTTAATTGTATGGGGCTGCCTATTTTCTACACCTCTTACAGATGCTTGATAAGAAATTCTCCCTGTTTTATTGTACATTACTGCAAATTACTTTTGTCTGAAAGTTCGCCCTTACACAAAATCCAGAATCCTATTATGTGAGTAATAGATGGTAATTGCAGTATACATTTTAATTATAAGAACGATATTGTATCCCATGCCCATTTTATCACTATGAAAAAAAACACACACATATCTGCCTCTTAAAGGAGTCAAAAGTTGAATAAGTACATTAAATTAAATTAATAAAATTGAAAAAAGTACTTTTCCTTTAATTGTTCTGAAAAAATTTGCTAGTATCCACTTGGTACACTATTAGAGTGTAAACAAACCAAATACAGTATGTTTTACATGTAAGTGCAATGTCAAATAGTTAATTTCTTTTTTTAATGTTCTTTCAGTTAAATCACAGTAGTAAGGTCCAGTATCCAGTAAGTGTCCAGAATTTAGGATTTTTGCTAGAATCCTCACTAGGTCTGGTACAAGTGACCATATAACCCCTATCCTGGAGTCCATACACTGGCTATTCATCAGGTTTTGCATAGACTTTAAGATTCTCTTGCACACCTATAAAACGTTTCATGGCTTGGCACCCCGTTATCTGTCTGCACATTTATTAACTTACCCCCCCTCCCCCTCCTAATCTCAGCTCCTCAAATTCTGGTCTTCTGTGTGTTCTCCCTACCTACACTTGACAAAGCCTTCTCCTGCTATACCCCAAAACTCTGTTATTCACTTCCACAGAACATCAGAGTCACATTCAAATCAAATCTGAAAACTTTTTTATTTAGACAAGCTGTCACGTACAGTGGGGATCGAAAGTTTGGGCACCCCAGCTAAAAAATTTGTATTAATGTGCATAAAGAAGCCAAGGAAAGATGGAAAAATCTCCAAAAGGCATCAAATTACAGATTAGACATTCTTATAATATGTCAACAAAAGTTAGATTTTATTTCCATCATTTACACTTTCAAAATAACAGAAAACAAAAAAATGGCATCTGCAAAAGTTTGGGCACCCTGCAGAATGTATAGCATGCACTGCCCCCTTTGCCAAGCTGAGACCTGCCAGTGTCATGGATTGTTCTCAATCATTGTCTGGGAAGACCAGGTGATGTCAATCTCAAAGGTTTTAAATGCCCAGATCATCTTACCTTGCCCCAACAATCAGCACCATGGATTCTTCTAAGCAGTTGTCTAGAAAACTGAAACTGAAAATAGTTGACGCTCACAAAGCTGGAGAAGGCTATAAGAAGATAGCAAAGCGTTTTCAGATGTCAATATCCTCTGTTCGGAATGTAATTAAGAAATGGCAGTCATCAGGAACAGTGGAAGTTAAAGCAAGATCTGGAAGACCAAGAAAAATATCAGACAGAACTTCACAGGATTGTGAGAAAAAACAATTCAAAACCCACGTTTGACTGCACGATCCCTCCAGAAAGATCTGGCAGACACTGGAGTTGTGGTACACTATTCCCACTATAAAGAGATACTTGTACAAATATGGTCTTCATGGAAGAGTCCTCAGAAGAAAACCTCTACTACGTCCTCACCACAAAAATCATCGTTTGAACTTTGCAAATGAACATATAGACAAGCCTGATGCATTTTGGAAATAAGTTCTGTGGACCGATGAGGTTAAAATTGAACTTTTTGGCCGGATGAGCAAAGGTACGTTTGGAGAAGAAGGGGCACAGAATTTAATGAAAAGAACCTCTGTCCAACTGTTAAGCATGGGGTTGGATCAATCATGCTTTGGGGTTGTGTTGCAGCCAGTGGCACAGGGAACATCTCACGAGTAGAAGGAAAAATGGATTCAATAAAATTTCAGCAAATTTTGGATGGTAACTTGATGCCATCTGTGAAAAAGCTGAAGTTAAAGAGAGGATGG